GTGTTCGAATATTCAGACGCGGTCGCGTCTCTGAGCCATGCTGCTCTGGCGAGTTGATTCTCTCACGCTGCGGCAGTTGGCCGCAGCCGATATGGCAGGCGCAAGAATGTGTGGCAGACAGCTCCTCGCCAATGCCAGTTGGCACAGCCTAGCGCTGCGTGCGAGGCGCCACGGGAGACGTTCAGGTGCGGGCGGCTATCGAGTTGGAACTCTAGTCCGTCTCAGCTGCAGTGGATCATCCTCCTCCTCCTCCTCCTCCTCATCATCATCATCAGCATCATCATCATCATCATCATCCTCATCACCCGCATCAACATCTCCATCATCATCAGCAGCAGCAGCATCTCATCATCATCATCATCATCATCATCATCGTCATCACCAACCTCACTACCACCATTACCATCATCATCGCCATCATCATCATCATCATCATCATCATCATCATCATCATCACCATCATCATCATCATCATCGTCATGATCACCACCCTCATCGTCACCATCATCACCATCATCATCCTCAGTACCATCATCATCATCATCATCGTCGTCGTCGTCATCATCATCATCATCATCATCATCATCATCATCATCATCATCATCATCATCATCATCATCATCATCATCATCGCCATCATTATCATTCTCATCAATCACCACCACCATCATCGTTGTCGTCGTCATCATCATCGTCATCGTCAACGTCATCATCATAATCATCCTCATCCTCCTCATCCGCATCATCCTCATCCTCATCCTCATCGTCTTCTCATCATCAGAATCATCATCATAATCCGCATCATGAAAATCATTACCACCATCATCATCATCATCATCTTCATCGTCACCAGCTTCGTCATAATCATGAGATCCCTGATCACCTTGATCACCACCATCATCATCATCATCACCATCATCATCAGCATCATCAGCATGATCATCATCATCATCATCATCGGCATCATCACCATCATCATCATCATGAGCATCATCATCATCACCGTCGTTATAATCACAACCCGCATGATCACCACCACCATCATCATCATCATCATTATCACCAACCGCATCAATGTCACCATCATCATCAGCATAATCATCATTATCATCATTATTTTTATCAGCACCACCACATTCATCATCATCACCATGCCCAACCTCGCCACCACCATCACCATCACCATCACAAATATCATCATCATCGTCATCAGCAGCATCACCACCCTCATCGTCACCATCATCGTCATCATTATCCTCAGTACCATCATCATCATTCTCGCCATCATCATCATCAGCATTATCATCATCATCATCATCAATCACCTCCACCATCATCTTAGTCGTCGCCATCATCATCAGCAGCATCATGATCATCATCGTCATCGTCATCATCATATCATCCTCATCGTCGTCCTCCTCCTCATTCTGATCCTCATCCTCATCGTCCTCCTCATCATCAAAATCATCATCATGATCAGCATTGTAAAATTCATCATCACTATCATCATCTTCATCATCATTTCCATCTTCATCGTCACCAGCTCCGTCATCATCATCAGATCCATGATCACCTTGATCACCACCATCATAATCACCATCATCATCATGATCAGCATCGTCAGCATCATGACCATCGTCATCATCAGCATCATCAGCATCAAAGTCATCATCATCAGCATCATCACCGTCATCGTCATCATCACCCGCATCAGCATCACCATCATCAGCAGCATCATCAGCATCAGCATCTCCATCATCATCATCAGCATCATCAACCTCAGCATCATCGCCAACCTCACCACCACAATTACCATCACCATCACCATCATCACCCTTCATCATGATGACCATCACCACCATCATCATCATGATCATCATCCTCAGTACCATCAGCATCATTATCATCATCATGCTCATCATTATCCTCTCCATCATCATCATCAGCAGCATCACCTCCCTCATCGTCACCATCAGCATCATTATCCTCAGTACCATCATCATCATCATCATCATCATCATCATCATCATCATCATCATTATCGCCATCATCATGATCATCATCAGCATCATCATCATCATTCTCGCCATCATCATTATCCTAGGTACCATCATCATCCTCATCATTATCCTCAGTACCATCATCATCATGATCATCATCATCATCCATCACCTCCACCATCATCGTAGTTGTCGTCGTCATCATCATCAGCAGCATCATCAGCATCGTCATCGTCATCATCATATCATCCTCATCATCGTCCTCCTTCTCATTCTGATCCTCATCATCATCGTCCTCCTCATCATCAAAATCATCATCATGATCAGCATCACTCGCATCATCATCACCATCATCATCGTCATCATCATTTGCATCTTTATCGTCACCAGCTTCGTCATCATCATCATCAGATCCATGATCACCTTGATCACCACCATCATCATCACAATCACCATCATCATCAACAGCATCACCATCATCCCCATTATCATCATCATCATCATCATCAGCATCATCACCATCATCATCCTCATCACCCGCATCAGCATCTCCATCATCATCAGCAGCATCATCAGCATCAGCATCACCATCATCACCATCATCAACCTCATCATCATCACCAACCTCACCACCACCATTACCATCATCATCAACATCACCATCACCATCATCACCCCTCATCATGATTATCATCACCACCATCATCATCATCATCATTCTCACCATCATCATCATCATCATTATCGTTCTCATCATCACCATCATCATCACCAGAACCGTGATCTCTGTCGTCGTCATCATCACCATCACCATCATCATCATCACCGTCATCGTCATCATCATAATCATCCTCATCGTCCTCCTCCTGATCCTGATGCTCATCCTCATCATCCTTCTCCTCCTCAACATCATCATGGTCAGCATCCTCAAAATCATCATCACCATCACCATCACCATCACCATCATCATCATCATCATCATCATCATCATCATCATCATCATCGTCTCCATCTTCATCGTCACCAGCTTCGTCATAATCATCAGATCCATGATCACCTTGATCACAACCATCGTCATCATCACCATCACCATCACCATCATCAGTATAATCACCATCATCATCATCAGCATCATCGTCATCATCACCATCATCATAATCATCATCCTCGTCATTCGCATCAGCATCACCATCATCATCATAATCAGCATCATCATCAGCATCACCAACCTCATCAACATCACCACCATCACCACCACCATTACCACCACCATCACCATCACCATTACCATCATCATCATCCCTCGTCATGATGGGCATCACCATTATCATCACCATCATCCTCAGTATCATCATCATCATCATCATCATCATCATCATCATTGCCGCCATCATCATCATCATCGTCATCATCATCGTTATCAGCATAAGCATCAGCATCACCACCACCATCATCTCTGTCGTCGTCATCATCATCAGCATCATCATTATCATCATCGCCATCGTCATCATCATCATAGTTATGCTCATCCTGCTCCTGCTGTCCATCCTCATCCTCATCCTTAATGTCCTCCTCAGCATCAGCATCATCATCATCATAATCAGCACCATCAAAATCATCATCACGACCATCGACATCATCATCTTCATCTTCATCGTCACCAGCGGCGTAATCATCAGATCCATGATCACCTTTATCACCACCATCATCACCATCACCATCACCATCATCAGCATCATCACCATCAACATCAGCAGCATCACCATCATCATCATCGTCATCATCTGCATCATCGTCATCGTCATCATCATCAGCATCATCCTCATCCTCATCACCCGCATCATCATCATCATCATCATAATCATCATCATCATCATCATCATCGTCATCATCATCGTCATCATCATCATAATCATCATCATCATCATCATCATCATCATCATCATCCTGATCCTGGTCCTGACCCCCCATGTGCTCCGCCATGCCGCCCTCTTCCCGATGTCTCCCGTTCCTCCTTCTCCTCCTCCTCATCCTCCTCCTCCTACTCCTCCTCCTCCCTCCCTCCTCCTCCTCCTCCTTCTCCTCCTATTCCTCCTCCTCACCTCTTCCACCTCATGTTCACTCTTTACATCCGCTTGATCATCCTCCTCCTCCTCCTCATCTTCCTCCTCCTCATCCTCCTTTTCCTCCTTTTCCTCCTCATCCTAGAAAGTCTTCCCGCCGCTCTCCTCACCCTGCCTTCCCCCTGCTACTCCTCGTCCTCGGCCCCCTCCTTTTTCTCCTTCTCCTCCTCCTCCTCCTCCTCCTCCTCCTTCTCGTCCTCCTCTTCCTCCTCGCCGCCTCCTCGCTTCCGCCTCTTCCCCCGCCGTCGTCTCCTGGTCCTCCTCTCTCCTGCTCCCGCAGGCCTCTTTCTCCCAACCCCGCCTCAAAGCTAGGGGTCTGAACGTCCAGCTTAGATGCGAATACAAACTGGTCCATGTTGGGGGGGCTCCAACGGCCTCCGGACACCAAACAAGAAGAAACAAACTCCAAAATAAGCTCGATCCCCTTCCTGTTCATGCTCTTCCTCCTCCTCCTCCTCCTCCCTCCTCCTCGCTTCGTCGTTGTGCCGTCGTTGCCGTCATCGTCGTCGTCGTCGCCGTTCGTCGGCGCGGTCGTCTTCCGCTGCCTCTTTCCAGACGGGGCCTGGCGGCCCCCTTCAAGGCCAAGGGGGAGGGGGGGGGGAGGGCTCGCGGCTCGGGAGGCCCGTCCAGGAGAGCTGAGACGACGATTGCACGAGGCAGGCGGAGGAGGAGGAGGAGGAGGAGGAGGAGGAGGAGCGATGGAGGAGAAGACGATGGAGGAGGAGAAAGAGGCGATGGAGGAGGAGGAGGAGAAGGCGACGGAGGAGAAGAGGGCGGTGCAGGAAAAGCTGGCGACTGGGGAGGGGGAGGCGGAGGAGGAGGAGGGGGGAGGCGCGCCGCTGGGGCAGGCCCTGCCCCGAGAGGGGGCGCCCCCGGCCGACAGGTCGTCGATGGTGGCCCTGCCGCCGGTGACGGCGTCGGCCTCGCGCGGCGGGGGAGCGGCCGCGCGTCCACCGGGGGCCCGCTCGCAGGTCCTCGCCCTCCCCCTGGGCCTCGCTCGCTCGTCCTTCCCTGGGCCTCGTCCTTCCCCTCGTCCTTCCCCCTCGTCCTTCCGTGGGCCTCGCTCGCCTCGCTCGCTCGCTCGCTCCTCGCTCGCTCACGGGTCCTCGTCCTTCCCCTGGGCCTCGTCCTTCCCCTGGATCCGAGGGCTCGGTCGCAGATCCTCGCGGATCCTCGCGGATCAATGCGCTGCACGCTTCGGGCCCTGGGGCCATCACAGATGTCGATCCGGCTCGACGAACTGGAGCAGGGTCTCGAGCTCCAGGCACGATTCTTCGCTAACGTCGGGCCTCAAGGTATCGTCCGCTGTCCTCGTCGTCCGTCCACCGTGATCGTCACCGCCGCGGCCGCCGCCGTCTTCTGGATCGCTGCCGTCCCTGTGGTCTTTTCTCTTAGCTGGCAAGCGTCGTCCGTCGTCCGCCGCCCGCTGTCGTCGTCTTCCGTCTCAGGGGTGGGATAGCGCAGGTGTGTCACGCGAGGCAGCGCACGAGCCCGACAGTATCTCACCGCGTGAGTCGGCGCAAGTTCGCACGCATGTGCGAGCTCGCGTTCCATAGCCGAGGCTCGAATCTGGGATCCTCCGCGACACGGAGGAAAGCCAAACGTAACACATACATCCAGATCAGTGTGAGCCCAGTGTTCCAGGATAGAGACAATACATATCCACGTCTCCCTACACGGTCGCCAGCTGCCAGCGCCGGTATCGGGCGAAAAATCGAATACGAAATACTGTAGGTTTAGGCCGAAGCCTACATGTAGCAAAGAACATGCTCCTTCCCCAGCGAAACATTTCGGAGATGAGGGAAGTGAAAGGGGCCTAGGAGGAACCCAAAGAAGCCGAGGGAATGCGATTGACATTTGGGAGGCAAAAACAGGAAAGCTGAAAAGGGAAACAAAGAGGAAAACGAAAGGAACTCTCAGTCAGAACAAGGAATCATGTTTACCAGCGTGAACGACGAGCACGTGTTCCTCTCACTCTGTTATGTGAAATGTCGGTGGCCAGGTCCTCGTCCCAGGAGCACAATCAGACATCTCTAGGCCACTGTAGTGGCTGCGGAGATGCGCTTCCCGCAGCCTGGTAGGAAGCCATCCTCGAATCGCCGCATGGCCCTCTGGCCGTGCGCTCCTGCCGCCGTGCAGGGCGCCATCAGCGACTTCAACTTCTTAAACAATGGGCTCCGCACCTCCAGCAGGCGACAGCAGCACCGTCTTGATTCCGGCGAAACGGCTCAAACTTCAGCGACAAGAATGTATGTGGTTCCTCCCCTCTTGCTTCAAGCAGTCGGGAAGCTTCCACCGCACGCGAAACAGTAGAGCCTGGGCGCTCTGCTTGTCCAGGAGCCAAGAACCTGCAGCGCCGACGCCGCTGCCGATCTGCAGAAGCAAACCAATCATGCACAAGAGCAGCTGCCTTCACCAACGGGCCACTCGCACCACGAGGCCGAATCGGGCGCGCAAGCTGCCAAATCATGCCGCAATCTTCTTTGTCGACCAGGGCGCCGAACGTCCCAGGCCAGTGGGCCGTTCTCTCGACCAACACTTGAGCCTGGGGACGCGACGTTGTCACCTCCCACAGCACTCTAACACGGGTAAAACTACGCTTAACCCACATTTCAGCGTGTAGTTGCCAAGCCTATCACGCCTGGAAACGTCGACCCTCTGGACGGCCTCGAGAGGAAGATGCTCTGTTTCTTCTTCCGCACATCCAGCCCCTCGGACCCCAGGCCCCCGAACTCGTCCAGGAGGGCTCAGAAGGAATGTCGCAAAAAGATCCACGCACTGCAATATGCGGTGGTCTTCGCACGGCCTCTCTCGCGCACATTCGCGCACATCCTGAAATGCAAAATCGCGGTCCGTGATCGCCTCGACCGGCGGGCCGAATGGTCTTGAAGCTGAATGAGCGCGTGCAGCTGGGCACCGTCGATGTCCCGCACAAGACCAGCGCGAAAACCGAACACTACATCCAAAACTTCGAGAGGCGCACTGGACACAATGACGATAGCCCATCCTACCGCCGACACAGTCACCCAGTCCCCCTCGTAACCCGACCCATCCAGATATGCTTGCTGCGACTGAACCATGCTTCAGCCCTCATGCTTAGGTCACGCGATCTGCTCATCAGATGGCGGCAGCCAGCCAGGAGGGACGGCAACATCGGCCCACGCGCATCGTTCCAGCAGAAACAGAAGCATCGCTCCAGCAGTGAATACACGGAACTTGGGTTGGAACGCTGGCCCCCCCCCACTGTCGCAGACAACATGCCTTTGCAGCAGGGCACCCTCCTCAGGGCGAAGAAGGCGCCCACTGTCAGCAGAGAGACCAGCAGCATGCCCCCTTGCCATGGACCGCTGCCCGTTGACCACGATGGACCGCACCTGCGCGCGCCGCGAAACATCAGGACGGGCAAGCTGCGTGCACCCGTAAGTCCTGCACCGCCCATTGCGAATCATGGCACTCCGAGGCCCCCAAACCGCACCCGCAGCTAGATGGCCAAGATCCTCATCAAGACACATCAGCCCAGAGGCACGCCCGCACGTCGCGCCCCAAAGGTGGGTGATATGCCAAGAACAAGTTTCCCTCGCATCGGTAACACCGCCTTCATGATTCAACCACCTGGAGGGCTTCAGGACCGTCCTCCCTGCGCGCTGCAAGGAGAGTCCGTCAGCCCCACAAGGGCCCTTCACCCGAATCCAGTGCTCGATGCGCGAGCACCCAAGCATGGCCGTCTCCGAGATGCCGTCAGGAAACCAAGACTCCCATAGCGCCCTCACGAAGGCAACCACGGGCAAGCACGTAGCCCTGAAAATCGGACCCAGACACCCATGGCGCATCAACGTCAACGTTCTACTCTTGCCTGCCGATCGAGGTTCCACCGCAGCAAACGCCAAACCTCTCGCAGATCCCAGCTCGCTGCAGGTACAACCCATGACCAGCATGCCGTATGCAGAATTGGCTTCGACACCAGCTCTGGAAACAAATGCAGCGATCACTCTCTTCTTGGCGCCGATCCCGAACTTCTTCATGCGCCTAGCCATCCCTCGAACTTGCCGGACCTATCATTACGAACATGGGGATCAATGTACTTCGCCCGCGTGAAATAGACCCCGAGATTACGCTCATGCCGAACAGCCTTCGCACCCGTGGTACACGCCAACCCCAACGCAATCTCAGAACGTCATTAGACAGCACCCTCGTCTTGTCCGTGTGAATGTGCAAATCAGAATATGCCAGGACTCTCTGGAGACCACGCGTAGCCTGGATCAGCTCGCGAGTGACACGATCACGGACCCCTACACGCTGCAAAGAGGTGTCGTCCACGACCAGAACGCAAGAGCGCTTGCTCGCCTTCTTCCAAGCCAAGGCGATCGGCCTACGTCATCTGGCTTACACTCTAGCAGGTACATGAATCAACCCTATCGGAAGAACTCCACCCAGATGTTTATGCAGAAGCGCTATGTTGCCGGGCACCTGGAGATTTCTTGGACGCCTGCCAGACCTTACACAAGTGCTCTACACTTGGCCGAGACGGCGGTTCGCCCAGATCCGCGGGCCAGCTTGCCGTCTCAGGCCACTTGCCTACCTTCCACCACCTAGACCATTCCTCCTGAAGAAGATCTATATCACGTTGCTTATGTATAGAAAGGCGAGTTGTATCGCAATCATGCTGGCTAAGATCCCATTCCCTTTACCCTTGCAGTCGCAAAAAGCCTGCCAGCACCCGAACCAAGCTGAGACGTAACCCAGTTACGAAAATCACTCGATCTCGATTTCACGCTATGATTTGCCGACTTGGCCGCCAGCTGCTGAACGCTGCTAGCTGGTACTTCCAAAGCCTCCACCGCGAACCCCAACCACAGGTACGTGCGAGATGATGCTCCACCAGCGACCGACACCCCCATCAGGAGAAGCAACAAAATAAGCAATAGCCTTTGCCAACGAGCTCGTTGGCAGCCATGATGGCGTCGATACGCGCGAGCGGCTGCTTCCAGCAAGCCGCAGAGCTGAGAGCAGACCCAGGACTCCGCGGCCACAAGACTGCCGGCGATACTCGAGAAAACTTAGGGGGCAGCTCGAGCAAGGCGTTCCTCCTCCTCCTCCTCCTCCTCCTCCTCCTCCTCCTCCTCCTCCTCCTCTTCCTCTTCCTCCTCCTCCTCCTCTTCCTCCTCCTCGTTCTCCTTCCCCTCGAGGCACGCTCCATCCCCTTCCCCCCCTCCCCTGTCTATGGTGGCGGATGGGCAGAAAGCGGACTTCCTGCGTGGCGGCGGCTATTCTGTGGCCCGCACATCCCCGCTCTGGCCATCGCTCGGACGTCCATTCCCCGTGTTTTTTTCGGTTTCGTGAGTGGTTTTTTCGCCAAATGATCAAGGATGCTCCTCGATGGTCCTCGCCGAAGGAATAATCCACACGTCCGAGCGATGCCAAGCCCTTGCTTGCTGCGGTGCTGGATACACCTCCACCCACTGGCTCTCGGGAGCGTGCTCCTGGGGCATAGCGCCCTGGGCCGTTGCCCGCACGGGCTCCGCATCGCGCGCACGGACCCAGTAGGAAGCTCATCAGTCGGGTCGGGCGAAAGGGGGGGAGAGCAAAGGGGGGGTTTGAGAATCAGCTCACGTACCTGATTTTCCCGGCGCCTCCCAGCGCCGGAGGCGGCTATGTATCGAGGAAGGGGCCCCTCGGTGGGGCCGAGGCCAGCTGCATGCAGCAGATTTCGTAACCCCCCCTTTCCCAATCCCCCCCTTTCGTCCAGCCCGAATCAGGGAGCAGACGCGGCTCAGGTATAACACGCATCCTGGGCTTTTACTGATCCCATCCACGAGCTCAAAACAGGCGGCGGCACGAGGGCTGACTGGATTCTCTGGGCAAGACCTGGCCCCGCCCGCCCCGAGCCCATATGGATCAATGAGAAGAATGGGGAGGAGGAGGAGGAGGAGGAGGCCGTTCTGCCAGCAGGAGCGCACGTCTCCACACCGGCAGCACCATCGACAGCCTCGAACCCCTCCACGACTCCGGCACCCTCTCCGGATCCGATGGCTCACTACGGAAGTCCCCTGCCTCGATGTGTATCGGTATGCCGATCGCGCGCGCACCCTCTGCCGAAGCAGCATCCCCAAAGGGAGCGGAGACACCCCGACTGTGTGAATCGGGTAAATGTTGGCCAGCACGACTCCCGAGGCCGAGAACCCGGTGTGCATCCAGCGTGACGCTCTACCTGGCACGATCACTGCACCAGCGCCTTGAATGACTGCTAAGCCAAACTGCTGTCAGCACAGCGTGGGCGATCCTTCGCTTCCGCGACCTGTCCTTGCTCCGATACAGGAGCAGAAAAGAGGCGTCCCACCACAACCTGACCAGCCAACTGGACTCCTCACTGCACTCACTCTCCGATAAGTGACTCTCCTGAAACATGATATCATCACCCTCCTCATACATCAGGGCACTTGCAGCCTCATCCTCCTTGGACGAAAGCTCTGTGAACGTTGGCAAAATATGAACACTCATGCGCAACACCCTCCATGACTGCCTGCGGGCAGAGGCGGTACCACATCTGCCCCCTTCTGAAAAGCTTTTCACACAGCTATGAGCAAATGGTGGGGATCCAGCAACGTCACCAGATGTCACGCAGGACTCACGAGGCGTACCTCCAGCCCCGCACGAACTTCTAACGCACATAAGAACAAGCGAATGCGAAGCACTGGAAGCCGCGCCACATGCTGCAGTCGGCTCCACAATGCCAGCAGGCAGCTGTGCCAGACCCGCCAGACCATACGCACCGCCTGGCTGTCTGTACAATGGTGCCCTCACTGAGAGGAGCAGACTCGTGGAGAAGGCCCCCAGCCCGCCCCTTGCGACTTGCCAGCGCACATAGGAACAAGCATACCCGATGTGCTAGCAGCCGCACCCCATGATGAAGATGAGGACTCGCGGAGGAAGCCCCCAGCCCCATGCGAACTTCCAACGCATATATATATATATATGAACGAACGTGCCCGATATACAAGAGGCCGCACCGCAGGAAGGGACACAAGCGGATCGCCTTCCAACGCACATAAGAACAAGCAAAACAGAAGGCTTGTCACCCCGATGACGGTCTCGCCTTCTTGGCCGCCGCTGCCTCCTTGAGATCACTGATGTACTTCTGCTTGTCCGCTTCACGCATCGGTATGTCTCCAGAAGCCCGAGTTGACGATGGGGTTCCAGTCCGCACCAGACTGCTGTGGGGATCCACCCGCCTTCTTGGAATCCTCATCGCAGTCAACGTCCATCGGTATGACTTCAGCCAGTGCAGCTGCAGCAACATGAGCAATAGAAACAGGAGGGGCAACGCTGGTCGCCGCTGCGTGTGGAGCCGACAACGTCTGGAGAAGAGCCGAAAGTGGACAAGCCAGCACTTCACCGACTTGGCCTTCCCACCCTGGATGAACAGAAAGAGCCGAGACCACGTTCTGAGCTGCCAAGAACGCCGTAACAACGACCGCTTATTGCTGCGGACCGCGCGGGGTCACCTCGGAGGCCCCCAGACGCTTCCTGGAGATCCGAGAGACGCCAGAAGACGTCCAGAAATCTGTCGGTCCTCGATCCTCGCAGCTGGAGTCTCGTGGATCGAACAAAAATCGAAGGTCCAGGATCGATCCTTGATCCTCGAGCCAACCTCGCGGGGGGCGAGGTCGTTGAACCCGAGAAGGGAAGTTGCGCGCTGCGCGGACACTCCTGCGCCGTCCATGGTGGGAACGTCCCCGCGCTCTGGGAGAAGGCGTCACTTCGTGCGAGGGTGCTGGCGCTTCCTCTGTGCTGCGCGCGGCGAGGAACATGCACCGCGGAGGAACCGGCCTCCTGGACCCCGAGCTTCTCTTTCTCGTACGGGCCTCTCGCCTCGAGCCGTCCCTTGACCCTCCCGAGGCCCGGGCAGGGCCGCGGGAGGCCGAGAGCTGCCGAAGACCTCCGGGACTCTCTCCCCTCAGGACTCCTCCTGGCCTGGAGGTCTCCGACCCGGCGTCGCCACTCCCCCTCCTCCTCCTCCTCTCCTCCTCCTCTCCTCCTCCTCCCTCCGCCTCCGCCTTCTCCTCCTCCTCCTCCTCCTCCTCCTCCTCCTCCTTTTCCTCCTCCTCCTCCTCCTCCTCCTCCTCCTCCTCCTCCTGCTCCTCTGACCTCTGACATCGCCACTCAGAATCGACCCCCGGAGCCCTCCTGGGGCACAACCTGGCATCTTTGTTCGAGCTGCGCCCAGCTGCGGCGACCAGAGGCAAGAGGGAACGGCAGGGGGGACCTGCTCGGGGGGGAAGCATCGACCTGGACTCAGCGATCCATCGCCGACAGATCGGCGAGATGCCCCCGATAGCAACCCGCACGGTCCTCGTGGGGCTGTTGGGCCCCCTATCGGCGATGAGTGGGCGACTCGGGGTCGGTGCGTCCCGCCCCTGAGCCTATCCCCTCCTGACGGAACGCGCGCGGGCCGAGGCCTTGGAAGCCGTGGTGTCCCTGCAGAAACACGCGAACTTGTCGTACGCCTTGGCCTCGGTGGCACCCTCGGTCTCGACCTGCAGGATGCGCCGCCGGCGCCGTCGTCGTTGGCGTCGTCGTCGGCGTCGCCGTCGTCGTCGCCGCCAGCGCCGCAGTCACAATTGTGGTTGCGATCGTCGCTGCCGTCGCCGCCGTCAGCCCGTGCACCAGAGGGAGGCAGGAAAGGCAGGAGCCAGGAGGCGAGCCCGTGTCTGGGAGGCAGGAGCAGGCCGGGGAAGCGAAGCCCTCTGCTCCTCCTCGTCCTCCTCCTCCTCCTCCTCCCTCCTCCTCCTCCTCCGCCTCCTCCTCCTCCTCCTCCTCCTCCTCCTCCTCCTCCTCCTCCTCCTCCTCCTCCTCCTCCTCCTCCTCCTCCTCTCCTCCTCCTCCTCCTCCTCCTCCTCCTCCTCCTCCTCCTCCTCTCTAACCCTCCATCACTCGTATTCCTCCATCCCCCCAACGAAGGCCCCGAGATAGCGGGAACGGGTGAGGAAAAAAAACATGGGGCAGACGAGGGCCTCCCCCCCCCCGCCCCCCGTGGGGGGGTGGCGATGTGCGGGCGCGCCCCCCCTGGCAGCCCAGGGCACGGCGGTCCTCCGTCTTCATCTCCTCGATCAGAGTGATGACCTCGGGCGCGCGAGCAACAGAGCGGCGGCGGGAGAGCCTGCGAGGCGGTACCGGGGTGGGGTTGCTGCGCTGTTCGGCCTCGCACACATTCGCCGCTCGGTTCCCCCCAACTCCCTTTTCACCGCCCTCACTCCTTCCTCCCCCCTCCCTCCTCCCCACTCCTCCTCCTCCTCCTCCTCCTCCTCCTCCTCCTCCTCCTCCTCCTCCTCCTCGTCCTCCTCCTCCTCCTCCTCCTCCTCCTCCGCCGCCTCCGCCTCCGCCTCCTCCTCCTCCTCCGCCCTCCTCCTCCTCCTCCTCCTCCTCCCTCCTCCCCTCCTCCTCGGCCCTCCTCCTCCTCCTCCTCCTCCTCCTCCTCCTCCTCCTGCCCTCCGGGGCGCGCGGGCTTCCGCCGCCTCCCGCAGAGACCACGCCAGAGCAGACTCCCGACAGAAATCGGGCCAGCGGCATAGCTCGGTCTTTCCCACAGGGCCTCGCCACTGCAACTGACCCACGCGCGCGCTGCTGCGCGCAGTCCTCGAGAAGGCGGCGCGCGCGAGACTGGCGCGATTTAAAAATGATGGCAGGCCGCGCGTGGGCGGCCAGCGCCTTGCTGCGGAGACCCCGGACCTCGGGGCCCCCGAGAGCGGGGAGATCGACAAAACGCGCGGCGGCGAACCAGGATCCAGGGGGCCGAACAAGACGAACAAGGAGATCATTGTCACGTCGCCGCAGCTGTTTGGGGATCTCGTACAAAGGCGATAAATATAAGATGACACTGAGCGCTGGCTCGCGATATATTGCGGCCGTGGCGCGAGCGTCAGCACGCGCGAGAAAGATCACGAGCACCTGCGCCTCCAGCTCGGCCGAGGGGGCCGTCCGCTGCGAAGAGTTCCCGGCTGCGCGTCCGACTTCGCGCCCCAGGTGCCCCAGCGAGGGGCCGACCCGAAACTCGGCCCCGCCTTGGGCGCGCATATTCGAGAGCCTCGACAGCCGAGGCCCCCAACTCTTTGGACGCCCGAAATGGGCATGGAAAAAATGGGCACAATGCCCAACAACAAATGTTGTCCCAAACCATCCGCGGCCGCTGTTGGGCAGGCGGCCGCGTGTCTCAAATGGATGCAGGCCGCGGCGGCGCGGACAGCGAGTCCTGTTCAAAATGAACAGGAGCTGCTGTTGGGCATTGTACCCATTCTTTCAGTACCACTTTCGTGCGTGCAGACACTCCTCCGACCACGGGGCCCACAGGGGAGTAGCGCAGTATTTCGGAGGCTCCAAAGCAAGTGTCGCAAGCTTCTCCGACACCTTGCAACTGCGAGCGGGCTCGCGCAGCCCAGGTTCCCCCCCGCGCCACCGCTCCCGCGCCGTCCACGCACCGCCTCCCCGCCCCTCTCCCGGCAGCCTCCAGGGGCCGCTCCGTGCATCTGCAGGACGGGTGCGCAGCCAGAACGAAGAGGCCTCCAGAGAGGGGATCACCCTGGAGGGCCGCAGCACGGTCTCCAAAGAGAAGAGAGCGGGCGCTGTCCGCACTCAGCGCGGCGGCCATGCTGCAGTTCGCCTTCGCGGTCGCAAGCAGGGCCTCGGGGCCCCTCCGGGATTCCAAGACGCGACAGATCCAGGAGTGAGCAACCGAAGGTAAAACGCGGGCAAAGTATAAGGAAAGCAGGAGAGGATGGGCCCGTTCAGAGCCAGGGAAGTCCAGGGCATTCACAGTGCCAATCCTGTCATGGCTATCTCGCTCGATCAGATTTCCGAGCAACTTATGAGCATGTATAAAGCCGCGCGGACTGGGGGCGCAGACTTTTGCACTGCGCGCTTGAGCGGCCATTTCAGTGCCGAGCTGATCGCCTCGGCCCCAGCGCTGCGCCGCGAGAGCGGGCGCGCGCTGCCCAGTGCCCTCGAGGCAGCGCGCGCATCCGCCGCCGTCGAGCCCTCGGACGTCTATACTCGGAGCGCATGGGCCGGCCGTCTGGCACCCCTTGCAAGGCTCGAAGGAGGGCCGAGGCGCTGCTAGTCACCGCCGCCCGAGCCGCATCAGGGAGGCCGCAAGGCCCAGGGGCCGCAGGCCGGGCTCGTCGCAACGCCTCGCGCGGGCACTTCGGCCGCGGCGCCGGGAAGCCGTTCCCGTCCAGCACTGGGGCCCCGAAGGGCTCGGGGTACTTCGACTGATCCCTCTTTCGCAGCTGGCTGGCCGCTGTGGGGGTCACGGGGCAGAAGACCTGGCCCCAGTTCTGGCCCAGCGCCAAGTTGATGTCAGAGGTCTCCGTGGGCTCGCAGCCGTCAACCTCCAAAGTGGCCAGGCAGCGCCTGGCGTCAGGGGCGCCCGGGGCCGAGCGCGTCGGCGGTGTGCCCGCTGCCGCGCGACGAGCTGCATGGCCTGCTCCTCCTCGGGCCCCAGCCCGGCAGCGTCCTCCAGCGAGTGGCGCAGGGGGGCCACCCCCTCCTGCTGGGCGAAGTTATGTCGACGCTGGAACTCCGCGATGTCCAGGATCGAGACGGACTTCGACGCCTCCTCAACATGCGCCAGCGCGCGAGCCCGCTCGTTCTGGGCGACCACCAGCAACGCGAGGCGCCAGTCCTGCCGCCAGCAAGCGCGGGCCAGCTGGCGCCAGACGATCGCCGCGTCGCCCTTGGCCCGGCCCTGCGATGAGCTCCGGCTGGACGCCCTTGGCCGCGACCTGCCAGATCCGCGCGAAGCACTTGCATTCGTCAGGCGGCGGCTAAAGCTGCAGCTGCACCTGCCTAGGACAAGCCTCCACGATCTCCCTGAAGCGCGGTCGCTGGACCACGTCGCGCGGGATGGCCGCGGGGGCGTCGGCGTCGCGCGGCAGGCGCCTGCGACGGAGCAACGAGGCTACGACCATCGAGTGGTCGCTGATGCCGCGGATGTGGAGCTCGCGCGCCTCGCCTCTCACCGGGCTCGCCCGCCGGCCCTGGCGCGGCCGCCGGCGAAGGGGCCCCGCGAACGCCCGATCGACGGCGGCGCTCGCGCGCGCACTGGCGCGCCAATGCGCGGGCCGGCCAGGCGTCGGCTCCGCGGCGGGCCCTGGTCGCCTCCAGCCGCTGCCGCCAGCCAAGGCGGTGCGTTGGGCGCGCCGACTGCGAGGCATCAGCGGGGGTTGCCCGGGCCCTCGCGGGGCCCTCTCCAGACCCCTTCTGCGTCGTTTTATGGCCATCCCGAGCGAAGAAATTTCGTTCGTCATGGTAGTCCCCGAAATTGAAGTCGCCAACGATACAAGACAGAGCGCGTCTGGGGCTGCGTGTGAGCCGCGCCGGATCTTGACGAAGACGGGCAGCAGTTCGTCGTCGGCGAACAGGGGCAACGTCGCAGCCATGAGCATTCCAATTGACAAAGCTGCGCCCCCCCAAGCGCCGATGATTGCGCGACATCTTGGGAAGAATGCAGCCAGGAACCATTGCTGCCGTCTCAACATCGCCGGTGAGGCCGCCCACTGTGTCAGGCACCGCAGTCGCTGCACCTCCCGCTCCTTCTCTACCGCCACCTGCCAGGCGCGAGGTCTAGGAGCACCTCCACGCCGTTGGCCGAGGCGCGGGCCTCCCTGTGCGCCAGCAGCACTGGGCCCTCCCAGGATCGCCGGATGCACTTGAGCTTCTTCTTGATCTTGTAGCGCGCAAGTGCAATCCATCGCCGGCGCCTCCCCAGGCGCGGGGCCGCCTGTCAGAGAGCCGACTGCTGGGCCTCGGATTCCAAGGTGCGGCCCACGATCGGCTGCAGCGTCTCCGTCGCCGGGCCAATCGCGCGGGCCGCCGCTGCGTTCCACGAGGCCTCGCGCGCGGCGCCAGACGTCGAGATGAACGTCTTGAGCAGCTGCCCTCCACTTGAAAGCGATCGTGAAGCATGCCTCGCTCGCAAAGAGGCGCTCAATAATCTCGTCCTGCAGAACGCTGCTTGCCTTCTTGGGCTGGATCTCGCGGGAAATCTGACTCCGGTTGCGATCCCTGCCCTTGCCGAGGCGCGCCCGACTGCCATTCGGGAGGGCCGCCAAGAACTCGCCGCGCGGAGGGGCAAGTGCGGGGCGGACCGAGGAGCTGTCCGATCCGCCTCTCTGCCAGGCATGCGGCCCCCAAGCAGCGCAGCTTGAATTGCCCCCCATCCCTCGCCCCCTCGAGGCTGGTGGCCTCGGGCGCAAGGGACTGCAGCTCAGCGCCCTCCGCTGGCGGCCGCAAGGCTTCCGCCGCCGCCTGCTTGGGCGCGTTCGTCTTCGCCGCGACCGCCGGGGCGGTGGTGTCGATGGCGCGCGCAGCCTGAGGAACTCTACAGGCCCTGCGGCGTTGCCGTTGCCACCGCGCCCATCTCGCTGCGCGGGTCGCCCATCTCCTGGCGCGGGCGAGCGAAGCCCTGCATGCGCTCATCCCTTCTGCCAAGCCGCTCGCCAACTCGTGCGATGTGGGTGTCGACCACCTGCGCGAACTCCTGCGCGGCATGCTGGAAGATGACCGCCAGGTTGTTGGTTATGCCGGAGCTGCGCGCCCAGCCTCCTCTCCATGCTGGAAAGCATCGCGGCCGTGTCCTGACTGCCAGCATCCACTCCGCCAGCTCCCTCAGCGCCTCCCGGGGCAGCGACGGCGCCCGGCCCGGAACGCCGAGCTGCCTCGGCGGCCCAGGCGTCGCGCCGGGAGCAGGGGGTCGGCATTTCACCCACTTCCGCGGGACTGACCTGCGCTTCGCCTCCTCTCCAACGGCCAGCGACGTGGCGATGGGCGGGCCCAGCGTGCGCGAGCTCCTGCGAGGGGGACGCGGGGAAGAGTGCTTCATCGTACTCAGGACCGCGTGGTCTGCTTCGAGAAGGATTCCCTCCCACGGTGGCAGCAGCAGCGGCCGCGGCAGCACGTTCCATCGCGTCGCGCGAACCGCCCCCGTCTCCCAGAGCGAAGAGAAGCAGACCGCCCAGCACGGGAAGTGGGCGTCGGCGACGCAGCATCGACTACACGTAGGAGTGACCCTGGGCTAGAGTGACCTCTGTCTGGTGCGCGGCTTCAGGGGCACCCGTTAGGGCCAGGCCAACAAACGGGTCACTCGGGGCATTGGCGTCCACACCTTCAGCAGATGGAACGGTTTAGCGATGACCCCCCCGGCAACTAGCCAGCGCCGCCGAGCGCCCCTCAGGACCAAGAAGCGCGGAACCATCCAAATCGACAATGCTGCGAAGCTTTGACTTCAGATGGGGCGGCGCCCAGGCCCTGGAAAGCTGTCAACCCGTTGAGTTTGTTCTCCTCCGTTTGGTGATGCATATCAGGGTCCGGGGTAACGTCGTGCATGGTCCCCTCATAGTACCTGCGCTTGAAATCTTGGATCGCGCTAGCAAATCCCTGTAAGCCCGTCCAGGTCATGACTGAGACGCCATAGCACTGCGCTAGCTCACTAAACGCACGACAAGTTCCCCCACAGTCCTGAAGTTGGCATTCCGATGAGCCCGAAAGAGGGCAACCATCCACGACAGCTTTTTGTCGATGGCCCCAAACCCTACACTCTCCCCCCCTCCGTTTCACGCGAGGGCTTGCTTCGCGCATTGCCTCCTTGAGCTCGAGCGCGCGCTGCAGCGGACGGTCGGAAAGCTCGACCTGCGTCAGAAGCTCACTCAAACAATCCTCGCAAAGTGGCGCCCCCGTGGCCCGCCGTGGAATATTTTGACACGGGCATCGCCGCGCGTCTAGCGCGACGTGCGCGGGCGCGCGGTCGGACGGGGGGCGTTCTTGTCAGCGGCTGACCAGCCGACTCCAGACATCGGGGCAAGGCCCAAGAGATCGGGGCTCGGGAAATCGATCCAATGGCGATCGAGACGGGCAAGGGGGGCCAGGGAGTCGTGCTGAATAGCTTTATGCGTATAGTCTGGCTGGTCAATCTCACAGAATCGCCCAAACTGCGCGGCAAATAGAGCGGCAAGCGAACCCGACCAGGAGGTGGTGCTGAGTTCCTGATCTAGCCGAAGTCGCCCCTCGCCCTCTTCGCAGAAATTCCACCCCCCAGCCAGCATAGCAGTAGCAGCCCCTGGATTCGACAAGTGGCCCAGGACCCCTGCAGAACAGACCGCTGCTCGAAAAGACACAGCCCTGGGCCCACGCGGACGGAAACAAATCATCAACACCCAAATCGCCCCTTTCACGGAAACCTCGAGACATCGGTCATCATTGATCACCACGCGCTCAAACAGCCGAGCAAGGCGCCAATGAACCAAAACAACATTCCACCCGGCACTCCCGTTATCCAAGAAGGTCCCAAAAACACTTGCGCAAGGGAGAGGCTCTCTGAAATTCCACCAGTTCCGCAGATGCCCAATGGGCATCCTGCATCGAAATGCAATCGAACCTCTCAGTGAGCCAGGTGAACTTTCGCCACCTCGATTTCGCGCGATCGCGATTAGCCCGAATACTGCAACATACAACTCGCAAGTTCCATATAACCCAAGACAGCCCAGTAGGAGGAAAGAGAGGATAACTACGCGGACCCTGGCCTGGGAGAGGCAACGGAGCAACCGGCAGACAGAAGTGAGAGGCAGAGCAGGAGGTGGCCTCAGAGTGCTCAGGGCGCCCAGCTCCTCCCAAAAAATCCACCATCATGGCCGGGGCGGGGCGAGCTCGCGGAGCCCCGCGATCGAATCGTGGAAACCGTCGATCCTGCCGGCGCCCGCGGACCCCCCGGGGCACCACCAGCACGAACAGGCGACGACCGCGAAGTCATCGCATGCGTAGTAGAAGAAGAAGCAGCACGCGCAGCCCCGCTGCCTGCCAAGCAAAGAGTGCCGGTAGTCTGCACCGTCAAGTGGCGTAGAAACGCAGCCCCCGTCACTGCGCCCAACTGCGCCGCGTTCAACCGCGCGCATCTCCCTCTGTAGTTTAAGCGGATTATTCTCCAAGGTGTTGCTGATCTGCCCTGATCTGCTCATTGCTGGTACCCCGCAGCTGAACAGCAGACGCGTCTGGCATGAACCGCTCCACATGTCCCAAGTGCTCTGACATGATCACTTCATCGACGTCGTCCTCGGTGACAACACCGAGTGCGCCACGGCCTCCATTCGCGCCCTCCTTGCGCATGCCAGTCTACCTGGCACTTCCCCTCAGCGGCGCCTTGATCGGCTCGTAGATCCAAGCGAACTGGCGCGCCCGAACTCGCGCGGGCAAAGGGCGGCCCCCTCTGCAGCGGAGCGTAATCGCCGCGTTGTACCTCGGGTCCATCCAGCGCACCTGGTCATCGTTGGCCGACTCTGAAACTGCTGCGCCCGCGCAGCCGTTGGGAACTGCAGCGTGTAGCTCTTTCCAACGCAAGTAATCTGCGCCGCCGCGCGTTCAGCGAGTCGAGGGCACTGCGTGCGCACTTGTTCGTGAAAGGGCCCAGCGGGTACTCGCGAGCGCCGAGCGCGGCCGCGCTCCAATCCAAATGCTGCATAGGTCCTCAGGCGCGTCGCCCACCGCGGCTGGCAAACGATGCCGAGAGGGAAGGGGGCCGCCCTGTTCGACGAACTTCCCGCTGCACTGGCCGCAAAGGAACTCCATGCGCGTCGCCTCGAACTCCTTGTCGCGCGTCTCGATCTCGGTCTTGACATGGTCGATCTCTGCTCGCGCGCCATTCGCCTGCGCGTTGAAGGACGCTAGGATTTCGATCATCTGCCTCGTCGTGGCCTGGTGCTGGTCCTGCACGTGCGTCAGCGACGCTGGGCCTTGCTCGCTCTGCGCTGCCGGCCGCTAGAGACCTCGATCGACTCTCTTCTCCAATGGACTTCTGCGCGCGGCGACCACCCATGGCGGCCGCCTCCCCTGGGGCGCGAGGGGCGCCCGCTCGGGCTCGATGCCCAAGATGGCCTCGAGCCAACATGGCCACGGAGGAGAAGGAGGGGGAGAAGGAGCAGGAGGAAGAGGAAGGGGGGCGAGTTTATTTCCCGCCGAGGGAAACAGAGGGGGGCAACAACTAAAGACCTCCTGAAGTTACCCCCTTTTCCCCCAAGTTCCTTCGTCTTTGAGTACGGAGATCGACTGCATAATTGATTTACCCAAGACCTGAAATTTCAACCGAATCCCCTAAACAAACACATGCTACGTTTTTCCCCACATGTTTCGTGGGGTTATGGTTTTCTTCCCGCCTGCGTCGCGCCTGCGTCTTCCTCGCCCCCCCCTTCCCCCTCTCCTCCTCTTCCGTTCCCGGTCCGCCCGCGCGCGCGCTCGCGCGCGCGTGCGCGCACAGACACACACGCACACACACGCACCAGGCACCGCTAGTGCACGCGTGGCGTGTTCACGGCGTCATACACCCAAGACGCATGCACAACATGCTGGGTGCCCACATGAAACACACGCCCCGATACGGCCGCACACGCATCATACACATACACCTGTCATGCCATATACAAGGCGGGCGTTTAGGATTCGCAGTGCATGGAGGGCGCGGCACTTTCTCGACGCCAGAGGGAGTGCGTTGGGGGTGGTCTCCCTATCCGTTTCGGGCTCGCAAAGCGTGGCAGGCTCGGCATTTCCCCGACGCCACATGGGGGTGCGCTGGGGGTGTCTGCCTATTCGCTGCAGGCTCGAGGTGCGTGGCAGGCGTTGCATTTCCTTGACACCACAGGGGGTGCGCTGGGGGTGGTCTCCCCGCCCGTTGCAGGCGCGCAAGGCGTGGCAGGCTTGGCGCCTCCTCGACGCCACAGGGGGTGCGCTGGGGTTGGTCTCCCTATCCGCTGCAGGCGCGCAGGGCGTGGCAGGCTTGGCACTTCCTCGGCACCGCAGGGGGTGCGCAGGGGGTAGTGTCCCTATCCGTTGCAGGCTCGCAGGGCGTGGCGGGCTTGGCACTTCCTCGACGCCGCAGGGGGTGCGCAGGGGGTAGTCTCCCTATCCGCTGCAAGCGCGCAGGGCGTCGCAAGCTTGGCACTTCTTTGACACCACACGGGGCGCGTCGGGGGTGGTCTCCCGATCCGCTGCAGGCTCGCAGGGCGTGCCAGGCGTGGCATTTTCTCGACATCGCAGGGGGTCCGCTGGGGGTGGTCTTTCACCGCGGCCGCTACGCGCGCATCTCGTCCAGGCACCGCAGGCGCGGCACTTTCTCGACACCGCCGGGGGTGCGTAGGGGGTGGTCTTTCACCGCGGCCGCTATGCGCGCCTCTCGTCCAGCGCACAGCAAGCGTGGCACTTTCTCGACATCAGAAGGGGGGCAGGCGTGGCACTGTCTCGGCACCACACGGGGTGCGCAAGGGGGTTGTTTCTCTCCGTGGCCGCTACGCGCGCCTCTCGTCCACGCACCGCAGGCGTTGCACTTTCTCGACACCACAGGGGGTGCGCAGGGGGTGGTCTCTCACCGCGGCCGCTGCGCGCGCCTTTCGTCCAAGGCATAGCAAGCGTGACACTTTCTCGACACCAGAGGGAATGCGCAGGTGGTGGTGTCTCACCGCGGCCGCTACGCGCGCCTCTCGTCCAAGGCATCGCAGGCGTGACTCTTTCTCGACACCAGAGGGGGTGCGCAGGGGGTGGTCTCTCACCGCGGCCGCTATGCGCGCCTCTCGTCCAGGGCATAGCAGGCGTGGCACTTTTTCCACACCACAGGGGGTGCACAGGGGGTGGCCTCTCACACCGGACGGGGTGCGCAGGTGGTGGTGTCTCACCGCGGCCGCTACGCAAGCCTCTCGTCCACGCGATGCAGGCGTGGCATTTTCCCGACACCAGAAAGGGGGTGCATAGGAGATGATCTCTGAACGCGGTTTCTACAGGCTCGGAAAGTGTGGCACGTGTGGCAGTTTCTTGATCAGCCCCGCGACTCCAACGAAGGACCCATGGGGGCAGATCCAAAAGGAAAGAACTTCTGGGGCACGCCCAGGAACCCAAGGCGTCCGGCTTTCGCGGAGAAAAAAAATCCCTGGCGAGGGGTCCGAGCACGGGGGTAACCCCCGCCTCAAATTCCGCAAGAGGAATGAATTCTCAGCCGCGGGGCTGCCCGCGCGAGGATCCCCACACGCCCCGGCGCAACCAGAAGAGGGAAACCGTGAGAGCCCAGATTGTAAATGCAATGCAGCAACACTCTAATAGTGGTTGCACTCGGGAGTTGTGCTAGTAATAAGGATTGGTACTAAGGAGTTGTACCTCCAGGGGATCAGCCAGGAAAGCTCTGGCAAGAATCGCGTCGCAAGATCGTCGGAGATCTGGGTCGGCAGCGGCGACGACGCCGTCGGCGTCTGCTACACGCAAGAGTGGCCCAAGGCCAGAGAGACCTTTGGTGCGCGGCATCAGGCGGCCGCGGGGGGGGGGAGGGAATCGACGTGTGCAGGCCAGCGCTGAGGGCGTCGCTGTGGCCCCGCACCAATGATCACTCCAACGAAGGGGCCTTCTTGGCACGGAGCACGCGTGTCCTTAGGGAAACGAGCCCTGGACCCTGAGGCCTTCCCCCGGGACCAGCTTTTCATACTGACTCGTTCCTGGTTCCAGCCCCACCACATCGGAGGAGGGCGCGTTGAGACAACGGCGGTTCTTACGCCAGGACCTAGTCTGTCTTGGACGGCCAAGGAGACCAAAAACGGCGACAAACCTCAGGACCCGCTTGCCTCAGGACCCCACTCGATGTAAAAACTGCTGGGGACGTCTTCCCCGTTTACAGATTGTCGGTGTGCGGCCAACCAACACGGGCAACAAAAGCAGCAACCCAAAACAGAACAACAATCGGCAGTGCAAAACAGAACCGAACAGAAAACGGCGCGAACAATAATCCCGAAACCGCGCACGCCCTGCCTTCTCCATCGGCGTCGCGCCCGCGGCCGGTGCCGCGAGCAGCCCGGCCGCGAGGAGCACGGCGCGCGCGGTGCGCTGCGCGGCCATCGCTGGACACCTCGGTACGGGGGGTGGACCCTGAGATCTGACGCCGCCCAAAGTCGGCGGCGAGCGAGGGGGGAAGGTGAGAAGGAGGAGGCCTCCTCAGAGGGCTCCGAAGTCCCCTGGTCTTCTGAGAAGTCTTCGGAAGCTCCCCCCGAAGAGGCAGGAGCTTCTCAGAAGGCGCGAGTGCTTCTGAAAAGTCCCGCCGCCTTCTGAAAAGCCTTCTCCTCCTCGCTTCCCCCCTTTGCTCGACGCCGAAAAGATGCAACATCGCAGAACATCACAACCAGAGCACTCGGCACAATGTTTCAGTGACATTTTTCGAGCTGGATCGATAGGTAAGGGTCCCAGGGCCCAAGAGCGGACGAAAACGCCCCCGTGCGAAACAAGTGCAAGGCCCGGATTTGAGGGGAGGTCATCTCCGCCGCCACCCCCAGCGGGGAACGGCGGGTTATGTGGCAACTCGCGGGAGCCTCCCACGCCATCTTGCGGCTCTTGCGAATCGACGCTGGCCAACGCCAGTCGACGCGAATCGACACCAATCGAAGCTAAATCGATGCTAATCGACGCTAACTCGGCGCTGTCTGATCGATTACCAAACGCTAGCGCACGCCAGTGCACTCTGAGGACGGAATTTCGAGAACACGCAAGGCCCCCATGATTTGCTACTGAAGGCGGAGGGTAAGACGAAGCCAGGACGCGGATGACATCGGGTGAGGATAAATCGAAAATCTCTGAGATCTGGCAGCTCTGGAGAATGTCTCGGGCGCCGCGGCCTTCTCAAAGCGTTTCAGAACGAATTGAGAGCGTTCTGGACCGCTCTGGAACGAACTCTTGTCCTCGTCCTGGCATCGTCCGAGGGGGGAAACGTTCCCTTGGCTTCTTGCTCCTCGAGTAGAGGCCTCCTAGATGGGGTCCGTGTAGAAGGGGTCAGAGGATCGCGCCGCATCGCCGATGCATCGACAATGCATCGGCGATGCATCGGCGACGTCGGCGGCGCATCGGCGACGCTAGCGTGGATTAGCTCGGGCTCCACATCGAGCCGCACCGGCGATGCATCGGCTATGCGGCGCGATCCTCCGACCACATCTTGTCGAACCCCATCTGGAAAGCCTACATCGAGGGCCCTGGCCGCCACGGCACGAGCCGCCCCCGGCCTTCTGAGAAGTTCTCTGAGCCTTCCCCGAAGACGCACAAAAAAACCTCTCAGAAAGCGCGAGGGCTCCTGAGGAATACCGCCGCCTTCCGAGGAGGCCCTCTCTGAAAGGGCCCTGGGACACACAAATAAATGCACACAAATAACATGATTCACATTTTTTTTAAACAAATTTTCGTATTCCGCCCACTTCCCATATTTTCCCATATTAACCTGGGAATCGACGATTACTTGTGTCTGTGTTTTTTCCCCTCCTGAGGCCTTCTCCTCCTCGCTTCCCCCCCCCCCTCGCTCGCCGCCGATCCTCGCTTACTCCTCGAGGGCCCTGGCCGCCACGCCCAAGAGCCGCCCCAAGGGCGCGCCTCAGGGCACGCCTCAGGGCGCGCCTCAAAACAAGACAGATTCCGCCAGAAATGTTCTAAGAACACTTCGTGGAAACCATGAAAAGGTTCTTAGAAAATTGTTTGGTAGGGCCATAGGCGAGCCAGGACGCATCGCCACTGCTTGAGCCTGTGGTGCCCGCAGGTCCGGCCCTCCTCGGGCTCCCGCCGCGCTTCGCGCGATCGCCGGCGCGGCCGCGCGGCCCGGAGTGGATACCGCTCGACCTGGGCGCTCTTCCCCGACCTCGGCCACTGCGAGCAAGGGGGATCGCCTGCACGGCGGCTTTCGGAAACCCTGAACCCCAAAACGGCTTCATCTCTTGGGGGCGCATATCTTTGGACGCCCGAAATGGGTACGGACAAAACATTGGCACAATGCCCGACAACAAATGTTGTCCCAAACCAACAGCGGCCGCTGTTGGGCAGACAACCTTCTGTCTTAAATGGACACAAGCCGCGGCGGCGCGGACAGCGAATCCTGTTCAAGATGGACAGGAAAGGCTGTTGGGCATTGTACCCATTCTTTCCGTACCCATGTCGGCCGTGCCGAATATCTTTTACTTGCGCCACCTTCCGCCGCCCTTCCGCCGGCTTCCGCTGGCGGAGGCGGACTCGATTTGCTTCCGCCTCCTTTTCGCCGACCTTCCGCTGCGGAAGAGTTAACAACTTCCTCGACCCTCGACAGCAAGGCCTTTGTTTGAACGCCCCACCAAATCGGTTTACACCAAAATGGATTTGTTCAACGAATCAATGAACAAATGCGTAGAATGTTCGTAGAACTACGTCGCACTCTACGCGTTTTTCATGGGCTCGACTGAATCAATGAAGTAGTCGATCCCCTACTCAACCACTGGGGGCCCTCGTCGGGCCTTGGGGGCACCAAAACAGGGTCCAGGGCGCATCAAGCTACCCTGGGAAATGGGTCGAGACCTCCAGGGCCGCGCGTGGGGAAAGTCACATCGTCAGATGTCTGGGTGTAGAGGAACAGAAGGCGGCATACTGTAGGAACTCGACCACAAGAAACCTTCCACAAGAAACCCAACCCTGAGACCCCAAGCGTCAATTGATTGTTTGTCGGAACGCCACGCATTCTGTAACAAAACCATCGAAACCCAAGAAACCCAGGGCACCCTGGAGGCAAGCAAGGTGTTTCTTGGCATAGGTTCCCACTGCAAAGGAACAGAGAGCGGCATAGACACCGTCTTTCGGTCCGCGCGGATTTCTTGGATAGGCGCTGGACACTCCTGGCGGCGCCTTCGGCGCCGCCCCTGGCGCGCTTCACGCGCCAGCCAAGGGGGGTCAAGCGCCGATCTCTGAAAAGTCTGCGTGGCGCTTCGAAACCTTATGTTAACGCAGTTGTTCTTCTTCGGAGGCGGACACGCATGACAATGTCAACGCCTGTCTAATAAATGCGCGCGGACCTCCAAACGTGTATGCTTAAGCAGCTGTTGTTGTTCGGAGGTAAAGTTGCAGCATACCTATACGACCACCCTTTGGGTGATAAAGAGGTTGTGGGTGGGGGGGGGGGGGGGGAATTCAGCTTTTTGGTGTGCGACTGGGGTCGGATCGGATTCGGCGGAAACTGGTTGGGCACCACGGAGCACCCGTTTGGCCATCTATATATATATATATAGATTGATATCACTCTCTCTATCTGTGAATCGATCTCACGATCGATCTCCTCCGATCCATCGATCTCGCTGATTATCGATCTCACAGTCGATCTCACGATCGATCTCGCTATCGATTTGTCGATCGATCTCACTACTGCGACGGCTCTTACTAAGAGTACCGTTGCTAAGGAACGTGGAGGCTCGACTCGGCAGACTTCCTTAATTTTGAATGGGATGATCGAGACCCTGGACCACAAGGCTTTGTCCCATTGCGACTCGAGAAATTGTCTTGGACCGTGAATTGCGCCCGCCAGCCCTTACAATACAGACAATCTCGGAGGGCCCCACCTGTAAGCAAAGATTCCTTTTTTTCATACCTCCACCGTACTGGTCCCACAATCGACACCACGGGACACCACGGGACAACGCGCCGCGGAACACCACGGGACACCCCGGGGGACACCGCGGGACATCGGCGAGACAACCCCGGGGCCACCGCCGGCCAACCCGAGAGGTGGAGACATTGGACTCAACTTCGCCCTAGTACCGTCGGGGCGTTGACCTAAGGAACCTTAAATAAGGAACGAGGCCCCTGTTCCCCTTACGTTAAACTTCGATCTCCCAAGGAAAACTGCAGGAAAACGGAAGGCAAACTGTGAAGCAATCAAGGAACACCGAGCCCCTCCCCAACTAGTTGGGTTCTTTCTTCAGCGCCCCGACTGTAACAACGGGACACAGGCGGGGCTACCGCCAGCCAACTTGGGGGGTAGAGTCAGTGGACACAGTTTCGACCTGGCAGCGGCGGGTTCATTCCTCTCGCCCGCCCACGCAGCTTCGTTTCGCCCGCACGCAAGACGCGAACACGAGACCGATTTCTCGGTGGGGGGTCTGCGTTTCACTTCGAACTCACCCCCAGACCTCTGGTCAGTCTACCTCACGGTCACACGAAGCAAGTCTGACGCCCCCGAGGTCGCCTCTCGAAGCGTTCGGCCGAGGAAGGGAGAGAAAAGGGAAGGAAAAGGAAAAGGAAACAAAGAGGTGAGAGGGCGGAAGAGCAGGAGGAGGCGGAGACTGGGTCTCGCCTCAGAAAAGAGGGGGAGGAGGAGGCCTGCAGAGAGAGAGAGAGAGGAGGAGGAGGAGGAGGAGGAGGAGGAGGAGGAGGAGGAGGAGGAGGAGGAGGAGGAGAAGGAGGAAGAAGAGAAGGAGGAGGAGGAAGAGGAGGAGGAGGAGGACCGTAGCCATGTTAGCTCAAGCTCACGACCTCTCAAGCGATTGAGAGAGTGTCGTGAGCTACGCGCGGCCCCCAAAACGCCCACAAGGGGGGGGGGGGGGGGCCACAATCCTCCGACCACCCGATCGATCGATCGATCACGCGCGCGACGTCTCTTTTGTCTCTGGACTGCTGACCTTGCGACGCCCCACGGGCGACCATGTGACGGCAATTACGCAGAGTATGACAATTGGAATACATGGCAGCACGATGATTCCACTCATCTGGCAGGCTGGCAGCACAATGATTTTGCTCATAAGGCAAGGTCGCAACACCATGACTTTGCATATAATGTTACCACTCATGCAGCTTCAATCGTTCCCAAAAGCGTAGAGAGCAAGATCGCAGGACACACATTTTACGAGCACATCTGCAAACAACTGTTTTGAAGGATTTATTGCACAGCAAGCATCTGGAGGGTCAGCATGGACAGGGCGACTTGAACAAACAAGCAGGACAGCCAAACATCTTGGATCTCGTGCATCTTCCTACAATAAGGCGAATTTGACCTGCCATCACATTCAGCAATTATTGATCTCATTGCCCCTGCACCGGCTTACACGCCTAGTTCAGACGGACCAGAACACATGTATACATTGTAAACATTGCTTCGGCAGTACATGATAGCCGTACTGTCGTTATTCCTGAAAGAACAATTTTGACACTTTGGACATTTCGCTTCCCACGCCATCAGGCATCAATACCATTGCAAAATCAGAGGATGTTGTGGACTCCCCTGCGGAGGAGGCAGCTCTTTCTGCTACTAAAGATGAGGGATTAGCAGATCCTGTTGGTAACCAATTGGGAAGAGAAAGAAGGGCGAGCAGCAGATGAAAATATACACGATGTACTGAACACTCCTGCGCACCAAAACACAACGAACAAAATAGTTTTTCATTCCGAAAAGAGATGGACGCATCCGAATGCGACGAAGTTCAGATTGTAGAGCTCGTTGAAATACTATGCTTGTTCACAACGCTAAGACACATATTGGTTGACTTTGTTAGAGAAGGCCCATCTTGTGCAACAGGCGCCAAAATTTACGCAGTGTCATTCAAGAAGCACTCCTCAGGGTCGATATGCAGCATACGCCTATTCAGCCTGGCTCCCTGTCATTTCCCTCCCGTCCTTCCCCTCGCCCTCCTGGCGTCCACCGTGCCAGCCTTCAGGGCGGGAGCGGGACGGTGAGTGCTTCAAGGGGCATGTCAGGTTACTATTTCATCACGTCGCTCTGTCGTGGATGCTGGTCCCCAATCCGGCAGCACATACCAGAAGGCAAACAGTTCCTGTCTTGTGGTTTGGGCGGGATGGGGTTGGAGATGGGGGGGCGGATGGGGAGGGGGACGTTTTGCACTCGAAGTCGGGGGTGTTGCTCCGCAGTCGGCATGGACGCTTAGCGGCTTGCGATGGGGTAGGATTAGGAGTGGAGGAGGAGGAGGAGACGGCATTCCGGTCCGCTGCGCCATATCATCTTCGACGAACGTCCAGATGTGGAGGCGGTGAAGGCTGTGGCTTGCGAGGGGGTAGGATTAGGATTAAGTCGGGCGTGTCCCCCTACAGGGGGATTTTGGGCGAAAAATTAAAAATACTCAAAAACACCCCCCAAATACTCCAAAATAGTAAGAAAATGTCCCTGGACTATCTTTTGACTATTTTTGAATATTCCCCCTGTAGAAGGACACGCCCGACTTTAAATTAAGAGTGGAGGAGGTGGAGGAGACGGCATTCGCTGCGAGCGTTCGGTTGCTTCCTCTGCAACCTGCTGTGGACCGACCGCCTGGATGTTGCGCTGCATGTTCAAGCGCAATGGCGCCCGAGACGAACGACGGCTGAGTTTAGCCCCGCTCCTCGGTCCGATCCGCCTCCATTTTCCTGGCCGTGGTGGTGGGCCCCCAGGCACGTGGCCAACAGTGCAGACCATGGAGTCGGCATGTCTAAGTTGAGTTTAATGAGTGGGATGCCGTTTCTTTCTGCCACCAGTCGTGGTCACCGAGGCGCAGAGGGGTAGGTGTGGAGGATGATCAGAGGAGGAGGAGGCAGAGGAGGAGGAGGAGGAGTTTGCGAAAGGTTTATGATGCGGTGAAGGCCGAGAAGCCCGCACTTATTGAGTGATCATCTGCTTCGTTTCAGCTGTCGTCTCGGCACACGGCACCACCAAGGGCATTTTTACGTCGGCCGTTTCATCGAAGATGCGCGGGACAGAGGGGCCGGAGGCGGTGGCTCAGAGGTTCGACCGTTGAACGTCACCTGACGCTCGGCAAGTGCAACAGATACGGGCATCTACACGTCGGCCCAGTAGTGCGCCACCGCGTGTGGCCAGCACTGTTACTGTTACGAGGTATTTTGGCGTGTCCTGAGCCTCCGACGGGGAGGAGGCGGAGGAGGAGGAGGAGGAGGCTCCAGGAGGAGGAGGAGGAGGAGGCTCCAGGAGGAGGAGGAGGAGGAGGAGGAGGAGGAGGAGGACCCGTGAGACGGTACCTGGATGTATCTGGTGGGTAGCGGGCAGGGCGGGGGGCTGTGGCGGGTCCGGCGGCGCAGTCGGCAGCCCTCCGAGAAGGCCAGCTCGAATTTTCGGGCCTGCAGTGGTCGCGTACCCCGCGGATCCCAGGCTCACGCACCCATGCAGCGCTTGTCGAGGAGGGGGTGGGGGATGGAAACAGAGAGGAGGATGGAGGAGGAGGAGGAGGAGGAGGAGGAGGAGGAGGAGGAGGAGGAGGAGAAGATGGCAGTCGTTGCGGGCGTTCGGTTGCTTCCTGAAGAACCCGTCGTGGACCGAACACCTTGACATTGTGGCGCATGTTCGAGCGCATCGGCTCCCGAGACGAACCGCGGCTGAGTGTAGACCCGCTGCTCGGACTGCTCCGCCTCCGTATTCCTGGCCGTGGTGGTGGGCCCTCGAGGCACGTGGTCACCGTTGCAGGCCAGGGAGTAGGCATATTCAATTGTTTTGCGTGTGTGTGCTGCCACCAGTCTGGTGCCCGAGGCGTAGAGAGGGCGGCGTGGGTGAGGAGGAGAGGAGTGGGGGAAGTTTGGTGGAGAAGGACAGTAACGTATCGTGCGTGTCGACCGCTGCGAGCGTGTTGACCGCCAAGACCGTCGGCCTCGGCACCGTTTCGATCCCGCTCGACGGGCGTCGGCACATTGGCCCGCATCGGGCTCAGGGAATAAGAATTTGGGCCCTGTGCACTGTAGGCCTTCGGTAAGTGCCATACAGCTCTTTGGGAGAGTCGACTTGATGTGATGTGGGGGAGCGGAGGGGTATGTGCGTACATCTATATATATATATATATAGATGTGAGGGGGTCATCCTTGCCACTCCTCGCCACACCCAGGCGCTGCAGCATAATCTTGAATATTTGCTGCTTTAAAGCTGTTTTGCATATTTTGGTTCTCGCCGACGCGCGCTGCTGCAGTACCAGGGCCAGACTTTGTTTCTCGAGCGCTGTGCCCAGAACATTTTTTTCTCGGATCGTTGCCACCAAGACGCGACGGCTCAAGCAAGCCAACGCTTGCCCAAAACAAAGCTGGGGATGAGGAGGAAACGTCGGGGGTGACACCCGCACACCCTCGCGTCGTGAAACAAAAGGTGTTCGGCAATTTTCGGCCTCTGGCCTTGCGGGGCCTCGGGGCCGTTAACACTACTAAGGACGAACAGCTGGTCCCTGGAAAGGGGGGCTGAGGCCTCCAGGGGTCCACGCTGTGAGACAATCGCGACGTCGGCGGCTTGGGTGGAGTCATCGTCGTGGTCGTCGTCGTCGTCGCAGGCCTCCCTGACGGCGAAGACCAGCACCGATGAGATTGGCACCGGGATCTGGGAATTGGGATAGGCAGGCACGTGCGCACCCTGCCCCTGCAGGCACGATGTCTGCCTAGACCTCAAAAGATGTGTGAAGCCAGGTGAACTCCAGCGGGGGTGCCCGATACCCCAGCGCCGATTGGACCCGCAGGGGCAGGGTTCGCACGTTGTCGCAGACAGGACGAGCAGGAACAGCGATCCCGAAGTGCCCCCGTGCGCCCAGATGCGCAACCGCGCCTTGCAGGCGTCGGGCCACGCCGGGTCACCGAGAGCTCGAAATCGAATCGGACCGGCTGGCCGAACTCGACATCGAGCTGGATCGATCGGATCGAAGCGGACCCCACAGGGCTTTGCCTCGGCACTACTCCAGCCCCAAGTCGCGGAGCGCGTGGACGCCACGGGCGGCGCAGGGCGCTGACACCGCCCTGCCCACTGGGACGCTCTGAGGGCGCTTTGCAGGATGCTGTGGAGCGATTTGCCTTCATGTGCGGCTGCCTCCGAGGGGTGCAACCGGCCCTGCCAGCCCCGCCTCTGCCTCCCTCCCCAGGAAGCCCACACAGGACGTACGTGCCCAACCACGCACGTGAGTACGGCCCCCCCCCGTCCGCGGGGACAGCCTCGTCATACGAACCCTCGCGCAATGTGTACCTTCGAAACCAGCGTGGATGCCTGTACGTGTACGTCCTCCTGTCCCTCCTGACTCCCTCCTTTTGAGCAGGGGCTGACCGTCCTGGCATTCCTATAGTCCTACCACGAAGTGTTCTTAGAACCCCAAATGTTCGAATGACAAAAATTACGCTACCGAGGAACCCCACATACTTATTTCATGCCATGCGTGTTCAAATACAATGTCACATCGTGTTTCCTCATCATCCACAGTCCCTTGCACTAGCTGTCGTCCAACCCATCACCAGTCAGAAAAACAACCCGCGCCAGACGAACCAAACTGACAAGCAAGACTGGCAAGACCAGCCAGATCAGCAAACTTGCGAGCCAGATCAGCAAACTTGCGCACCCCCTATGGTGTCGAGAAAGTGCCACGCCTGCTATGCCCTGGACGACCGTCGTGCATAGCGGCCGCGCTGAGGGACCACCCCCTGCGCACCCCCTATGGTGTCGAGAAAATGCCACGCCTGCTATGCCCTGGACGACCGTCGTGCATAGCGGCCGCGCTGAGGGACCACCCCCTGCGCACCCCCTATGGTCGTGCGCCTGCTATGACGAAGTGAGGGACCACCCCTGCTGCGCTGGACGACCGTCGTGCATAGCCGCGCTGAGACCACCCCCTGCGCAGGTGTCGAGAAAGTGCCACGCCTGCTATGCCCTGGACGACCGTCGTGCATAGCGGCCGCGGTCAGGGACCACCCCCTGCGCACCCCCTATGGTGTCGAGAAAGTGCCACGCCTGCTATGCCCTGGACGACCGTCGTGCATAGCGGCCGCGCTGAGGGACCACCCCCTGCGCACCCCCTATGGTGTCGAGAAAATGCCACGCCTGCTATGCCCTGGACGACCGTCGTGCATAGCGGCCGCGCTGAGGGACCACCCCCTGCGCACCCCCTATGGTGTCGAGAAAATGCCACGCCTGCTATGCCCTGGACGACCGTCGTGCACAGCGGCCGCGCTGAGGGACCACCCCCTGCGCACCCCCTATGGTGTCGAGAAAATGTCACGCCTGCTATGCCCCGGGCGACCGTCGTGCATAGCGGCCGCGCTGAGGGACCACCCCCTGCGCACCCCTTTGGTGTCGAGAAAGTGCCACGGCTGCTATGCCCTGGACGACCGTCGTGCATAGCGGCCGCGCTGATGGTCCATCCTCTGCGCACCCCCTATGGTGTCGAGAGAGTGCCTCCCCTGCTATGCACTGAAAGAGCGTGTTCTACCGCTGCTGGCGGAAAACCGGGGGGTGTCACTACTGGTTCGAACCTTTCCCCCCCCCCTTCCGGAAAACTGGGGGGGGTAACTACCGGTTCGAACCCCTCCCCTACCCCCAGTCCATCGTGAAAAGGGGGGGGTCACTACCGGTTCGAACCCCCTCCCCGCCCCTCGAAAACCCTTCGAAAACCGGGGGGGTCACTACCGGTTCGAACCCCCCCCCGCCCCCCTCGAAAACCGCGGGGGGGTGCGGACAGTGGTGGGGACGGTGGTGGTGGGGACAGTGGTGAGGGGACAGCGGGACAGTGGGTGGGACAGTGGGACAGTGGTGGGGACGGTAGTGGTGGGGACAGTGGTGAGGACAATGGTGGGAACAGTGGGGACAGTGGGACAGTGGTGGGGACGGTGGTGGTGGGGACAGTGTGGGGACAGTGGGAATGTGGTGGAAACAGTGGGACAGTGGAGGGTACAGTGGTGGTGGGGACAGTGGTGAAGGCGGTGGCGAGGACGGCGGTGGGACAATGGGACAGAGGTACAGTGGGGACAGTGGTGGGGACAGTGGGGACAGTGGTGGGAACAGTGGGACAGCTCAGTGGGACAGCGGAGGAGTCAGTGGGACAGTGGGGACAGTGGGGATAGTCGGGCAGTGGTTGGGGCCGTGGAGAAAGTGGAACCGTGGTGGGAACAGTGGTGGGGACAGTGGGGACAGTGCGACAGTGGTGGGGGCACTGGTGGGGACAGTAGGGACGGTGGTGGAACCAGTGGGGACAGTGGTGGTGAGGACAGTGGTGCTGGGAACAACAGTGGGGGATGTGGTGCGGACGGTGGTAGGGAGTCGTACGCTGCGGTGAGAGGGGGGGGAGGGGTTCGAACCGGTAGTGACCCCCCTCAGGTTTTCGAGGGGGGGGGGGTCGACCGGTAGTGACCACCCCAGGTTTTCGAGGGGGAGGGGGGGGGAGGGGTTGGGGGAGGGTGGGGGTTTTGCCGAGGGAGGGGAGGGGGGGCGGTCCAGCAGGGAGGGGGGGATTTTCGGAGGGGGGGGGAGGGGGGAGGGACCCTCGGGGTCCGGAGGGAAGGAAGGGGGATTTTCCATAGTAAAGCGGCGGTGGATCACGCTCTCTCTCTATGCACTGGACGACCGTCGTGCATAGCGGCCGCGCTGAGGGACCACCCCCTGCGCACCCCCTATGGTGTCGAGAAAGTGCCACGCCTGCTACGCCCTGGACGACCGTCGTGCATAGCGGCCGCGCTGAGGGACCACCCCCTGCGCACCCCCTATGGTGTCGAGAAAGTGCCACGCCTGCTATGCCCTGGACGACCGTCGTGCATAGCGGCCGCGCTGAGGGACCACCCCCTGCGCACCCCCTATGGTGTCGAGAAATGCCACGCCTGCTATGCCCTGGACGACCGTCGTGCATAGCGGCCGCGGTGAGGGACCACCCCCTGCGCACCCCCTATGGTGTCGAGAAAATGCCACGCCTGCTATGCCCTGGACGACCGTCGTGCATAGCGGCCGCGGTGAGGGACCACCCCCTGCGCACCCCCTATGGTGTCGAGAAACTGCCACGCCTGCTATGCACTGGACGACCGTCGTGCATAGCGGCCGCGCTGAGGGACCACCCCCTGCGCACCCCCTATGGTGTCGAGAAAATGCCACGCCTGCTATGCCCTGGACGACCGTCGTGCATAGCGGCCGCGGTGAGGGACCACCCCCTGCGCCCCCTATGGTGTCGAGAAATGCCACGCCTGCTATGCCCTGGACGACCGTCGTGCGAGGGACCAAACCCCTGCGCACCCCCTAGGTGTCGCTGAAAGTGCACGCCTGCTATGCACTGGACTACCGTCGTGCATAGCGGCCGCGCTGAGGAACCACCCCTGCGCCCCCCTATGGTGTCGAGAAAGTGCCACGCCTGCTACGCCCTGACGACCGTCGTGCATATCGGCCGCGCTGAGGGACCACCCCCTGCGCACCCCCTATGGTGTCGAGAAACATGCCACGCCCTGCTAGCCCTGGATGACCGTCGTGCATAGCGGCCACGGTCAGGGACCACCCCCTGCGCACCCCCTATGTGTCGAGAAAATGCCACGCCTGCTATGCCCTGGACGACCGTCGTGCATAGCGGCCGCGCTGAGGCACCACCCCCTGCGCACCCCCTATGGCGACGAGAAAATGCCACGCCTGCTATGCACTGGACGACCGTCGTG